ATTTATATCATTTAATAAGTACTTAAAAAAAAAAAAAAAAAACAAATACAGAGATTTTGATGAAAGCCCTTCGTTTCTATAACAGGTCATCAAAATTCTTCTTACAAGGAAACAAATTTATTCTATAAAGAGATAGCTATTCCAGAAAATATATTTAGAATTACACGAAAATTATTCTCGTACTTTAATTCTATTATAATTAGGGCTCTCTAGAAAAAAAATTAAATACTCAGTAGTTTATTCAAAACATCATCACCATTAATATAATAGAACATTCAACGTTGAATATTCACATGAATCTTTTATTATTATCGTTTATATTTTATGTAACAAACATTTGCTATAATGAACGACAGTTAATTTCAAATTATAATACTAAATACGATTTTTTTTTTTTTTTTATTGTATTCATATTCAATTTTCTATACACAAATGAATAAAATATTAATATGTATAACTAATCCATAATATTGTGTCTTCTTTGTACATAGCAGTATATATTTTCCATTGAATACAATCGAAAAATAAACGGTATACAATACCGGTAAAGAAAGAAACTGTAATGTACTTAAGGGTGGATAATCCCGCAGTCTCGGAAAAACAAATGGATACATTTCTTGATGCTTAAATTTAAACAACCAAACGACTGAAACTATAGTGTTTCATGAGCGATATCATTTTACGGCAAATAATATTATAAGAAGTGACAATAATTATTGTCCAGTTAGTAATAAATTCACACGTCAAAACTCAAAATCGAAAAGCTTTTATCGCTGGTTATTTTTTTGCCTTCATCTCCTCTTTTTCCTTCTCCTTTCGAGCAACTCTTGCCGGTCCCACCGACTGTTCTACTGGTTTGAAAATAGCTCGTATAATAGCACCGTAAGTGTCGGCCATTAAAATGAACTTTTAATGTTTTTCGTTAGCGTTCGGTTTTTTACGGGCTGCTTGTTTTTCGATCGTAAACCCACCGCTGATGCTCAGTCTATCTAGATGAAGGGAGTGCGATAGAAAAGGAAAATTGTTTTGTTTTTTCAATTGTTACAGTCATAGGTCAAAAACAATTATGCGTGTGCGGAAGATAAAATGCTAATATTTTAACAACTCGAGCTACACCTATAATAGGCCGGTTATTGCCTGCGTCTACGACCGCACTTTGAAATTGCCATTTTTATGCGCTTCTGTCACTATATATTAGCCTATACGTGCACAAGATACTTAATGTAAACATACGTACACACTGTCGTAAAGACATAAACAAATGCACACATACACACACACACACACACACACACACACACACACACACACACAAACATAAAAAAAAGGTGCTTGCAAACAAACATTTGTATTTGTATCAAATAAAGAAAAAATACGTTATTCCGCGCTTTAATCACATCTATAATTGATTGTTAAAATATTCCTGGTACAGAAGAATACAATTGTTTTATTAAAATTTTACAACATCATAACACTAGACAAAAAAAAAATGTTTCTCCGAAACTTATTCCGTATACCTTCTTTTTTATTTGTTATTAATTTATAATCCATTTAATTATTCATTTTTAACGTTAACAAAGGTAAATAATTTATACTTTTACAATATTTCATATTATCAATTTAAGTTTTCGAAAAGAAACCAGCTTAATAAGATTTGTGATTAAAAAATATTAGTTTAGTGAACATATTATATTTACATATATGTTATTAAATTATTTGATGTTTTTGTATTAAATTTATTTCAAGAAAATTTATTCATTTTAATATTGTAAACCATCTGAATGTTTAACATCATTCACAATAATTGTTGTGTTCAGAGTCCTGAAAACACCTGATATTTTTAATTTTACATTCATAGTTATCATTTTTATAATAAATTTGTATAAAAATTTAACACATTCTACTTTAAAAAAAAAAATGTATATAGATATAATAATAATACGAGCTTATATACATATATATATATAATAGAAAATAAATAAAAAACTCATTTTGTACGAAAAATATGTGATACCACATCACATTCCATTAATTTTTAAATACATAGGAAAAACGTATTGAATCATTTAATTCAATTTTCTTCTAAAAGCTTTCAAATAATAAATAAAAGGAACTAGTAAAAAAAAACAATAAATTTCTAATTTTCTAACATTTGAAACTTTTATTTTAACAATTTGTATAAAGTGAAGTAAATTTGAAATTCTAAAGTTTATCTTTAGAAACGAATTTAACAAAGTTGATTTCATCAGGTAGAATGTTCTTAAGTACTTACTTGTTTTAAAACAATTGAACTAATAATATATGTAGTTTAATAAAAATTAAATTGTACAAATGCGTTAATTCAGAAAAGGATAAGGATATTTACATTTATTCACAAAATGTGTTATAGTTGTAATTTAATATAAATATGGTAATGTAATATACTTCATATAAAAAAAAATTTCCAATATACTTTCATGGAGTCTACCATACAAAATACTTTAAGTAAAATGCGCATTATATTACTGATGTATGCTGATTTAACAAAAAATGGATAATTTTAATTTTATACAGTTGTTATAAAATGTAAGAGTACAATAATTTGATAGTAAAAATGTTATATTAAATCATTTTTTAATACGTATAAAAAAACTTACATTTTTATTTTAAATATCGAAAAAAAAAGTTAGCCACCAGAATGGCTTATTTTGCAGATCTTGTAGATTGATGCGCATGGTCGATTGTGCGATTTAAAGCTCATAAAAAAAAAAAAAAAAAATATGTGGTTCTACGCAACTACCTTTACTCATACTTTTATTTCCAAATAAGGCTCTTGTTTCTTATCTTATATCTTATTGAAAAATGTTAACCCATTTCCTAATAAACAAGTATAATTAAATGTATCATTTGAACTATCTACTACCCACTTGTGACAATATAATGACAAAAGTTTGGATAAACTTAGAAAAAAAATTTAGTAAAAAAAACATTGAAAAATTAAATTATTGTAGTTGATATCAATTAAGAAATAAGAAATTGAAAAAATGATATTTAATTTATTATTACATACGCAAACAAAAATAAATTATTTGAGTATGTAAATCGATAAATCCAGAATATTTATATGTAAATTAAATTTTGTGTACTTAATAAGTTTAATATAAATTATAAATTATATTATTAGATCTTATATATTATACTATATTATAAGCTTTACCAATTTTTGAAATTTTTCGTAACGTATTAGTACCCAATTTATATATTATCTTCTGAACAACTTAAATTATTTTTAGACAAATGAAAATATAAATTATTCTGATAAAATCCTCGAAATTATTGATTCGTTTTATAGTTTATAAAAATTTATAAAGTTAAACATGAACGAGTTTTAAAGACATTTAAAAATAAACAAATGTATACCAAGAATCATTTCAAGTGTATGTCGCAAATATATCAAGTACTACGTTTTAAAGCTTTTAGGCTTTTATATGATTGCAACAATCATTATAGCAAACTACATAAATAACCCTTCATAATATATTCACTGTGGTATGAATTTTTAACGATTAACACTTTACGTTATTGTATAATTATTGCTACTCTTGATTTTTTAATACTTTTTATTTGGATTGACAATTGACATGGTTATCTACGATTGATCTTAGTATAGTTTTTTCCTTTTACTGTTATACTTAAATATCCTTTCTATTTATATATTTTTTAGTATCTTTAAAAGGCGATCTATATATGTCATATATTAAAGTACGTTACTCTTTTATAGTACTATTCTTTATACAATAATAGAGTTTGGCGTCAACATATAGAATATAATAACATATAAAACAACTCAGTAAATCGCTTATTTTGTAGATTTACATTAATTTTGTTTTTCGTGGTCTTGAAATGATTCTTATATAAGAAAAGTGCAATCAATGAACCACAGCATGATTGAAATATTTAACAACAATGTTATTTTTTAATTTCAAACATCAAAATTACGTTAGGTCTTAGATCTAAATATTTTTATACCTATTATATAATTATGGAAAAATTAACAAAAACTTAAAATCAAAGGAATTTCAATTTTTATAAACAACAATAATAAATTACGATTTATACTTTTTAAAAAGTTACATGTGGACATGATATAATCTTACCTTGAAAGATTTATACAAATAGTTTTAATCAAAAACTACGGAAAAAATGTTACTCGAATATAAATTGCTTTTGTACATTCTTTAAGTTATTTTCACCACATTTTACATCAGTGTTTCGTAATAATTTCAGAACAACTGTTATGTGTGAATCAAAAAGTGTAATAAATAATATTACAGTAATCAAATTATGGATTTTGTTTTCAGTATCAATATTGGTTTTATAAAAATGTTATGAAAAATAATTCCGATCGAAAAATATGACGAAAAAATGGTTATTTAATTACAATAAATCGTAAAAATAAATAATATATTATGCATTGTAATATGTTCTTGAAAACAATTGATTTAATTATTTTAAAACTTTAAAAATCGTATTAAAAAATTGATTAAATTCTCACGAAATTGTAATGATTAATACTCGATAAAATAATTTACACTACAAAACTCGATTAATGATTCTCAAAATAGTATTATTTCAGCACGTTCGCAAAATTCAAAACCGTTTTCAATTCTACATTACTTAGTTCGTTCCTCGTTTGTATCACAAGAGCGTTTACGATAAAATCGAAAAACAACCATTCGTGTCCTAATAGATTTCCGAAAACCGTCGGTGGATACGTTACACCGTCCGAAGACGAATCGTGATCGGATCACGGCGACGATAATCGATCACCGTTCTAGGACGCGTTGACCACTTGACAATTTTTTTCTCGTTATCTTAATTTTCATTTCGTTTTACGTGTATTTTTTCTTTTTTTTTTTTCTTTTCGTTAGACCGCGCGAATCACCCCCCGGATAAGAGACGGAGGTCAGAGAAAACTCGGGTCGGATTGCGTTACAGTATTACGGTGTGTGCAAATTTACCTGACGACATTTGCGAGACGATCGTGACGGCTGCGGCAACGAATGCGATGGTCGACGTGACGCGGTGGTCCATGGTGGTCGGCGCGCGCGATACTGCTGCCGTCGACCGCGTGCCGACACCGGCTGCGCTCGGCAGGTGCATGCGTTTCGCCGCGGTCGCACGTCGTCCGGGCCACGCCCACCGCCGCCGAAACCACCCCGGGCCAGGGGGCGAGGGCTAACGGCGTTCGGAGGTAATGGTGTTGTAGTTCCCCGACGCGTTGCATCAGCCGGCACCTGCGATACACGTGACGCGTAAAGCGCCCTACACACGTTCAGTTTTTGTTTGAAACTTGACTAAACAGGTCTGGCCGTTCCGGCAAGTCCTAACGTATGTATGCAAAAATTGAAGGCTCGTTCAGTCCTGCGCACGTCATGAACTCAACTGGTTGTTCTTGATTTTTTTTAATTGGAGCGAACGACCACGTGCCTATGTGAATAAATAATATATTGAAACTTACGAGTAGTGTGTAGCGAATCACGAACTTTAACTTATCCGAACACACTTACCTTAAGTTAAGTCATGACAGTTCTGCAGAACTGAAGACTAAACATGTGCAGACCCTTTAAAAGTGCGACTTGTCCGAAGCGTCCAACTTTACCCTAAGGGCACTTGGTGCACGTGCCCAGGGCCCTGAACAATAGAAATTACAAATTTTAATTTTAATCCGTAACATATTAATATGACTGCCTATAAAAAAAATAATTCTTCATTGCGGAAAAAAAATTAATAACAATGTTAAAATGTTAACGATTGTGCGATTGTCTTAGGTATATTTTATTTTTGATCCTATCATTTCAAAAGATTTTTCTTTAAAATCAATAACTTATATTTTCCAGCTATATAAAAATCTTCGTACAAAGTCGCTTTTGATGTTTTTACTCACCTTTTTTTGGGTTTTTAATAACAGCCCTAAACTCCAGGTGCTCATGTGTCCCTGCATAGCGGAAGACGGCCTTGGCGTCCTGCGTTTGGAAAAGTGTCGATCGCCTGACCCAAAGCTGTCCATGCGATTTGTAGGGCGTAAATCTTTTAGGGGGTCCTGCAAAAAAAAATATAAAAAAGTTGATGCTTTCAGCACGAAAGCAATTACAATCCCATGACCTCTTCCATTTCAGAAAGTTAACTTGTGCTACATTGGTCGTTAAGTATTTATACTTATCACTAACTTTTACCGATACCAGAATTCATTACCTTTACCCATCCTTAAATATGCCAATTTTAATAGATGCACATTTAAATACATTCATAAACCTAATTTGTACAGTACATTAAGTTTGATGATATAAAAAGAAAGAAATGTGTAATAAATTGGACTCTTATGGTGACCGTGTGATATGGTCTAGTGGTGAGCCAGTGTTTTTCAATGTATTACTTTTATTTCTTTTTGTGTGTATGTATAGATGTATTAAACCTTCAATTCAATACACGTATACGACAACGAAAATGAACTTGATGAGGCAATGTGTTATCTAGTGATGGTAAATGTTATGAAAAGAATAATCGCCTGTAGGACTAGCGGAGAATGACATATGCCCGATATTGTTTTTCGATATTAAACTTTAACTTCTCGTGAAAAGAATGATATAATTGTTATATTTTTTTGTAAGAAATAAATTTAATTTATAGCAGATTTAAATTTTTCGTTCTTTTTGAAACACCCTACAAATATACACTATTGAATTTAAAGAAAACATAGAATTTTTCAAGTGCGTGAGCGTGAGGCCCAAACGAGGAATCCACAGCGCGTGGCTCGGAATGTGGGCTTCGCTCGCCCCGGCCTTAGGACGGCCCTGCACTAAACTGTCGACGCGTCATCGATTTGAAAAAACTATTTAACCACCAAAATTATGTTTTTCTCGCTAATTTTGTACATTTTGAAAACTACTGTTCAATTGGGGTTTTATTCTTCACCTTTTATCATGAATGAAATATAAATAAAATTATTGTCACGTATACTATTGATCTTGGAATTTTATTAATACAATAAAAAATAAATAAAAGGGTTTGACTTATAATTAATACCAAATTGAAAGATTTATGTTTATTTTCAAATACCATATTGATTACAATGTTTTAGTCAAGTAAATAAAAACCATTATTTGATCATCTTTATTACAGAACACAGCAGAAATCACACAGTAAGTAAATCCTCGTGGGATACTCGATATAGGGCACAAAAGAGCCCATTAAAGCCCATTACGTCCATATTTGAAATGCCTCTCTTTCTCTCTCTCTCTCTCTCTCTCTCTCTCACTCTCTCACTCTCTCTCTGTCACTGTCTCACTGTCTCTCTTCTTTTGATTTTAAGCCATACGAAAGCGATGGCTGAAAGAAGCTTGATAATGTAATTATCCACCGAGTCTCTTGGTAAAATACATTTGAAATCCACAAGACGACGGGAGACATTTTATTTTTCGATTGACTCATACAAATGTATATTTTGTCAGTGTAATCCAGTCTATCGTCTCTCGAATACTTTGTTTTTGGCCATAAAGAAAATGTTTAATTATTTAAAACACATAGGTAATATGTAATTCGGAAAATATATTTACATTCTTAAAAGAACTTTGGGATATTATATATTTCAATAAAATATTTTGATCTGTATCGATAATGGCAATACTAATTATTTAAAAATTAATTTACTTTGTTTTTTTTTTTTTAAATGTCTTGTAAATTGTATTTGTTATTTTTATTTTTTATTTACTCTCCACATTAATTCATATTTATAAACTGGTTTGCCAACTAAAGCACCGGAGTAACCAAATTGGTTCCCGATTGTTTTCTGGTCAAATAGTTATAATATTAGTTTTTAATTTTTAATAATTGGTAGGTTGTACAAACATATTTTATACAAAATAAAAATTAGATAGCATAAAATAAAAATTTATCTACACTCTATAATATATACGCAATAAAATGGTAATAGATTTTTATATTAGAGGTTTAGCAAAAATAACAATTAAGATATTAGCACGTAAATGTAAAGCTTACATGAAATTTAATGGAAATTGTTTATGTGAAGAAGTCTTAAGCCTATAAAATTAAAAAGGAAAATGTAATTAAACGGAAACCAATTTGGTATGTGGAGTTGGGGCTCGGAAACCAATTCGGTTCCAACCTAAGGCACATTAGATATCACAGTGATCAATCTTAATATGTTTTATATTATTTGCAATAACATTTTATCCATTTGTTTAGTCACAAAGTGTAACAACACTATTAACATACGCGCTAGAAATAAAGCCGGCAATGTGTGTGAAAAAATTATTATAATTAACATGATAATTTTCACATGGTTATTATAGTATTATACCATCATGTAGATGTTTATATAAAATAATTTTAAGTTAAATATTTTTAGATAAAGATTTAAGCGTAGTCCATTAAATATCCAAAATCCCATATAGTACCATGTATTGTGAATACAGTATAAACTTTTTTCTGGTGATTCTTAACTGTAACTTAAAAGTAATTTTGTCCCCGTCAGTTAAAACTATAAAGTAGTTGAATCGACAAATGACTTGAAGTTCTTATAATGTTAGCTTAAACATTTATGGGCAACTAACTATTATAAATATACTTGCAAATCTCGATCTATAATTTACGAACATCCGTCTCGGCCAATTCCAGCGATGCGAGGGTAAGAGGGACGAGAGTTATTTTTCAAAACTCGTCTGAGTTAAGGGATATACTTATCAATTGTAATATACAACTTTCAAATTAAGTTTTTGAACTTGCGAATTGTTCGAAGCAATTATTTTGCCTATATTTTATAAACTCCACATATTTTTCTTCTGGGATTCAGTGTCAAATGCCATTAAACCTCTAATCCAATACATACACGCATCTTCACAAACATAAAGTTCTACTTTAAATTACAGATTAATTGCGTTAGCTTATGCGAAAGATTTGACCAGTAGTTAATTATGTATGGTATAATTATACATGTCTTTTGTGATATTTAATATTCATAGGTTGTACATTTTCTTTAAATCCATAATTTCTCTAATGAAAATTATTTTATTGTATGTTTTTCAGAAATTATAAAAAAAAAATATTTCAACATAATTTTAATAATATAGGTAATATCAATAATTAAGAAATACATATACGAGTATTTTATGTTTTTATTATCTGCTGGTTTTTATATGTATCGTTATATTCATCCGTTGGAAATATTATAATCGAAAATCTACTTATATCAATCAAAATTTAAAGAGTACAATAAATCCAATAACATAATATAACTTATTTATTATGTAATTCGTAATAACATAATAGGATTTATAAAAATTCAACAAAAAATAAAAAAATGAGATTCACTGAGAATTCGTGGGAGGACAAATTATATTGTGTATCATATTTTAAATTAATTCGTTCCTCATAAATATAAACTTTTAAGTCAGGAATACTTATGATACCGACGTAAAAATAATTATATAATTATAAATTATTGTACAAGTATATAGAATAAGTTATTAGTTCCGGAATTGATACTTGTTTTATTGTTTACCTGTCATTCTAAATTATTTAAATACATTTCTCTATTACGAAAAATTATAATTAAATAAGCGTTTACTATTAGCGTTTCATCACGTTGTATAATTAAATACAATTTAGTCTACTAATAATATTTTATTATATTCGTGTTTACCAATAATCCATTGTATCATGTTAATACTGTAAACTATTGTAAACTATTAATGACGATATTTATTATGATGGAAAAATAGTTTTGTAATTTTATGTCCATCTATCCTATAAATTACACGTGTAATGATCTACACGGTTACCCGTGTTTTACCTATTGCTGGGTAGAAGACCGTATAATAAAAATATCCGTGTATACCCGTGTATTAAAAGACTCGCGTATATTTATAACTGTTTGTCGTATTAGATGCACTAGTAAGTGCATCTAAATATTCATGAGCTTGAATAATCATGTATTTAAATAAAATTGTACTTCACAAACTTACAGACCTAACTTACTGTTGCTCCACTTTCTGAACTCAATAAGACAGAACACATATCATATTATATTATGTACACTACCTCCTCCAAAAATATATCGTA